CTTTTTTTTTTTTATATTCATGGTTTCTTAAAAAAAACATTTTGGATCTAGAAGCTCAAATTGTTTTCTTTTGTGGATAGTCAGGATGGTGATTTATGCTTAATTTTGGGCTTGAAGCCCAAAATATTTCCAGTGTGGACAGAGATCCTAAAGGCTGCTACAGTCTGAACAGAAAAGCACAAAGCAAAAAGCAAATGAATGCACTGTTTTGAGTCTGGGGGCACCTGGCACACGGAGGTCTACTCAAGGTCACTTCTGATTTTTCACCCAGGACAAGCAGTCAAACAACCTCCCCCTGGAGCCTTGTGACATAGGGATACACATGGAGGAGGCTGATAGCCAACAGGATGGAGAGTCCATGTCTCAGGAAGCAAACAGACCCAAAAGGCAAAAGGAGACTTGACAGGGACTAGACTCACTCTAGATGTCAGTCTCTGGAGCTCTGTATCAGAGATGGAGTCAGAGACATGGGTTCATATCAGAGCCTTGAAACCCACCAACCATGAGAAAGAGAAAAAGTCTGAGTAAAACACCAAACACAAGGCCAAGTTTGATATAGGTGATCAACACCAATTCCCCTCCCGGCCACAGCCCCCTTCCCATGCTAACGCTCTGGGAGCCAAACCCAGATTTCAGTGGTAACTAGCACTGTTTGCTTCCCTTTGACTTCTTGTCTTTAGCGAGAGCTTCTCTTACTGTTGGGTGAAGATCCATGGGACAGTCAACAAAAGCATTGAAATGTCCCCCTCTCTTCCTTTCTTTCCTTCCTTGATCCCTTCCACATTGAATGAACCCACTGCAGCTGTCTGCATTCTGAGGGCTGAAACACATTCAGAACGAATGCAAGGAGTTAACATTTAAGGGATTATCTCCTTTCAACCCTCAACATAGCTCTATGAAGTAGATGATAGCATACGATTCCCATTTTACAAGTTTAGAAACATTGAGGCATGTAATCTTGCCCAAGACCACTCAGCTCCCAAGTGTTGGAACTGATCTGTCCAAGTTTACCCTGGACTGGGCTGCTTTTAGTGAGGATGTTTCCTATGCCTGTGGCTCAGTAGACACTGCAGAGACGTCTATATGACCTCAGATGCCCCTGTTGCACTGGTGTCTGGGTCACCACCCGTGGAAAAAGACTCCAATGATCTTGGAACAGTCCTGAGATGGTGAAATGTTGCCGTGGGTATGGGTTCTGTGACCTGAGACCAGATAGCCTAGGGCTACCCGGAGAGGGTTCATGTGACGTGTCCAGTGTGTCTCATTTAGAGTGTGTGTTGTATCATGGGATCAATGCAGGACTCGGATCCAGGGAAGGGCACATGAGTCACAGCTGCAGAACGATTCCATTCTGTTGGATGCTAGCAAGCGAGTTAGCCTGAAAACAAGTTATGCTTACGGAAGGGTTGGATGAGTCCGTTGTGGACAGCCCTGAGTGTAGCGGGTCATTTTTTTGTCCGTAATTACTCTGGCCTCTGTTGGGGATGGAAAATAAGGTTAATCCATTACAGTCTGTCCCTAGGGCCAAGACCCCCTTGGTTATTTCCGCTTTTAAAATCCCTTGTTTTATTCAAACGAATGCGATTATTGTTTTAAATTTGTAAATGAATATAATTAACAAAGAAATTCTAACTCAAGTGCAGGATTACATTTATTTGACATCTACTCCATTAACGTCTAGTGTTGAAAAAGCATTGTTAATCGTGTGCGCACTGTTAATTAACTCAATATGTTTAATGGTTGTTTTCTTAAATAATTAGTAGGCCACATGTAAATGATCTTTCAAGCATTCACATTTCATTTTGTAAAAGAGTAAAGCACAGGACAGATTGCTCGACGCATTAGGTTGAACGCGGCCCATGGCTCCCTTGTGCTGTCTGAGGGAAATGGAAAACCCTCCTCACCACCTCAGGCGAATGCCCATACAAACCCAGAGGGGCCAACATTCCTGCACTTGAAAATATTAACCACATTGTCAAAAGAGCAGCAGATCTGCAATGTAAATTGTGAAACATGTTGATTCTGTTTTTCCTGTAACAGTAAACTCAGCATTCTTTTAAGCTCAGAAACAAAAATTGTGACATCTAGCACTACCTGTACACGGGATGGGTGCTGGGGCCAGTGCTGCCTGCAGTGCGGGCATCCCATATAGGTACCAGTTCATATCCTGGATGCTTCATTTCTGATCCAGCTCTCTGCGAGGGCCTGGGAAAGCAGTAGAAAGATGGCCCAAGTCCTTGGGCCCCTGTACCCGTGTGGGAGACCAGGAAGCTGCTCCTGGATCCTGGCTTTGGATTGGCACAGCTCCGGCCATTGAAGCCATCTGGGGAGTGAACCAGCAGATGGAAGACCTCTCTCTGTCTGCCTCTGCCTCTGCCTCTTTGTAACTCTGCCTCTCAAATATAGATACATCTTTAAAAAAATAAGGGGGGATGGGTGCCTTTTTCCATTTCACTCTCATAAAGGTCCTACAATTAATCTGTTTATCATCCCATTTTATAAGCCCAGACAGGTAACATTCAGTTTCCCAGGGTCACACACCTGGTGTGGTAGCCACTAGGGACACTTGGTGAACATTTCGTATTTCCTATTTCCTATTCATCTAAGTGGGATTGGCCAGCAGTCTCCTTTGGTGGTCATAGCTTAAAACAACTAATTACCCAGGCTGAAACTGTGGTCCACAGGGTTAAGCTGCAACCTGTAGCGCCAGCATCTCATGTGGGAGCCGGTTTGTAAACCAGCTGCTCCACTTCTGATCCAGCTCCCTGTTAATGCACCAGGGAAGGCAGCAGCAGATGGCCCAAGTCCCTGAGCCCCTGCGCCCACATGGGAGACTAGAAGAAGCTCCAGGCTCTTGGCTTCGGATTGGGCCAGCTCTGGCCGTTGTAGCCACTGGGGGAGTGAACCAGTGGATGAAAGGTCTCTCTCAGTCTCTCTCCTTCTCTTAAAAACATTATCCCACTTCTTGCTTCTTGAGCATCTGTTGGAAACAGAAGATTAATTCTTCAGCTTCTGTAATCTTGCTTGGCATTGTGTGTATTGAAACAGAGTTTTAGTCTGCTCAGGAGACAGGAGGGTGTGTTTTTGACTTTTGTGGTTGTTTTGTTTTGTTTTACTTACGATGCAGGGAGGCACCATGGTGAATCTAGAGGAAGGAAAGAGGGTGTGTGTGTGTGTGTGTGTGTGTGTCGAGAAAAAGATGAGCAAGTGCATGAGCAGGACCAAGTCAGAACTGAGATGTGTAGAGCAGCACATGAGAAAAGAACTGCACTACATATGAGGGCTCTTGTAAAATGAATCTAATGAGAAAACTATGCATGGAAATAAAAAAAAAGGTTCTGTAGCAAAACAAAAGAAACATCTAGGTATACTTGCAACAAAATATGCAAAATCTCTATGAGGATCACCACAAAGCTCCTAAAAAAGTCTCAAGGAAGAATTAAACCTTTGGAGACACATTCTATGGTCATGGATTGGAAGACTCAATCTAGCCCAGATAGCTGTATTTCTTCACTTGATAGACCAACGCAGTCTTAATCAAAATCCTATCAACAGGGCCAGTGCTGTGGCGTAGCGGGTGCTGGCATTCCATATAGGCGCTGCTTCAAGTCCTGGCTGCTCTTCTTCCAATCTAGCTCTCTACTCTGGCGTGGGAAAGCAGTAGATGGTGGCCCAAGTGCTTGCGCCCCTACCATCCTTATGGGAGAATCAGATGAAGGTTGGGGCTCCTGGCTTCAGATCAGCACAGTTCCAGCTGTTGTGGCAAATTGAGGAGTGAACCAGCAGATGGAAGACCTCTTTCTCTCTCTCTCTGCCTCTCTTTCTCTGTGTAACTCTTTGAAATAAATCTTTAAAAAAAATCCTATCAACGTGTTTTACAATTACCAAACTGATTTTAAAATGTATGTGGGGATGAAGATACCCCGAAGATCCCACCTCCCATAATTGAAGATGAACACACTGGAGGACTGACGTGTCACAGTTTCACTAACTTATGAGACAGCCAATCATGGCAATGTGGGACTGGTGAGAGTCAGAATGGTAACCCCGGAAGAGACCTTCACGAATACAGTTATCAGACTTTTGACAAGAAAGCAAAGTGATACAAAGGAGAAAATCTTAAGAAAGAGCACCAGGTTTGTGAAATCTCCATTCCAGGAGAGGGCAAAGGACTGTCACCAAAGGCAGGTGGCTTTCAATGGAGACGGATGCCTGCAGGTCACCCTGCACATGGCTGACCTGGGGAGGATGGTTCGAGGCCATAGGCACCAGGAAAGTCTCTAGGTGTGCGTTCCCATTAGTAACACTGTTTAGGGCTTGTGCCTGGACAGGTGGACTGCCTGCACATCTCTGAGTACACTGCGGTCCACCCAGGAAGCCAGGGCAGAGCAGGGAGCACAGCACAGGCTTGACCTGGACAGGGGCCTTCCCATCCACTTCACCTGCCCTGTAGCAACCTTGCCTGCAAGCTCATCATCAGGCTCACATCTTCCCCCAGATAAGGAGCAGAAGCAGCAGGTGAAAAGTCCAAAATATGGCCTTATGGTTCCCAGGAACAAGAAGACCAGCCCTGAGCACTGGAGAACAGGAGCAGGCTCAGGACTGGCCCATGGCTGTGGCTCCCCAGCCTGGAGAGATGAGTCATCAGCACAGTAGCCACTTGTCACCCTCTATCTTGTCAGCTTCTGGCCTCAGTGTGATTCTGCAAAAAGCACCCTGTGGGGACCAGCGATTCTGAGCCCTTGGGGTCCTGCCAGTGACACAGCCATGGCTCATTCAAGAACGGAGTACAGAGTGGTCAACTCCAAACCAGACTCAACAGCTAGAGAATCCTGGGCCTTCCAGACCCAGGGGAAAATGGCTATGGCCTAACCTGCCCCATTGGGATGACCCAGGTGGCTTCTGATGAACAGGGCCCAGTCTCCTTTTGGAGGTTGTGTGGATTGAGGAAGAGGCTACAAGTGTCAGGGACCCTTGGAGAACTGGGATGCTCTCTCTGCCCAAGGTAGGGTTCCAGACTCCTTCCCTGTGGAGCCTCCAGGCCAGGAGCCTCTGAGCCAGGAGTCTCTTCTCCCAACATCAGGGGACACATTCTCCATGCTAATGACCCCTAGTGACAGCATGACCTGGAGAAGCTGAACCCACTGTGACAGCAGCCCAGGAGGCCTGAGCTGCTAGAGGGCATGTGGGCATCTGACCAGCTAGGTGTGCCACCAGGACCACCTGGACATTCTGGGGCTGCCTCCACCCACTGGCATCCTGGTCTGTGGTCAGAAGTGCCCTGGGGTCCTCTTGAAGGCTCAGGCCATGAGATGCTGGATTGTGAGATGGGGCAGGGAGGATAGAAGGCAAAGAGGGAAGAAGAGTGGGAACCTGGTGCCCCCACACCCAGGACAGTGCACAGAGGTGATCATGGGCCTGGTCCCTTGGCTGGGCCCACACTCCTGAACTGTCCCAAAGGCCACATGTACCCAGCCATTGCTGCTCCTCTGGTCCTCCCCTGGTCCACGCTGGGCACAGGTCAATCTCAGGAAGTGATGGAGCACCCTGAGCAGGGTCTCTGACTGCATCTGGAGGCTGTGGCACCTCCAGCCTCTTGCAAGGGACTCAGGGACCCTGTGTGGCAGCTCGGCTCCAGGGGTCACAAAATCAGATGCATTCTGAAACAATTTAATGCACAATCAACAAGGGGCAGAAGTTCCCGGGTTCCCTCACGAAGGCGGGAGGGGTATGTGGCAGCCCACAGGTGCCTGGGTTCATGTCCTACATCATCTCCTGCTCTGAGGGTGCCCATAGCAACTGTGGCAGTGGGCTGGCTTGGGGTGAGGCCGCTCAGGGAGGGGGAGAGGAGCTCCAGAGAGGAGCCTTGTCAATCGGGGAGGCCGCTGGGCATAGAGAAGCTAGATTCTGGCCGAGATGAGCTAGGGTGAGGCTGCTCAGGGAGGGGGAGAGGAACTCCAGAGAGGAGGAGCCTTGTCAATTCGGGAGGCCACCAGGCATAGAGAAGCTAGATGCTGGCCGAGATGAGCTAGGGTGAGGCTGCTCAGGGAGGGGGAGAGGAACTCCAGAGAGGAGGAGCCTTGTCAATTCGGGAGGCCACCAGGCATAGAGAAGCTAGATGCTGGCCTAGTTGAGCTAGGGTGAGGCAGCTCAGGGAGGGAGAGAGGAGCTCCAGAGAGGAGCCTTGACCATCAGGGAGGCCGGCGGGCATAGACAAGCTAGCCTCCTTGGCCGAGATGAGCATGGGTGAGGCCTCAGGATGGGGGAGAGGAGCTCCAGAGAGGAGCCTTGTCCATCGGGGAGGCCGCTGTGCTTAGACAGGCTAAGCTTCTGGCCCGTCTGAGCTGGACACCTGGTGGGCTGTTCTTCCCATCCAGGTGCCCACACACATCCAGCTCCTCCATGGAGTGGGCAGCAAGGAGGCCTCGAGCCAGGCTGGGCACATGCGCCTGGTCTCCCAGTGCAGAGCTGGCTCCTGCAGGCTCCAGCCTGTCCCCAGAGTGCATGGGGCTCCCATGCAGGCAGGGTGTCTTCAGCCCTGCTCCCAGGGCTGGTACAGCCTGCATGGGCCCGGGATCCAGGGGCTCTGAGGCAGGTGGGGGAGGGGCCCTGAGACCCTGCTGGCCACCCAGCTCCAGGGGCCAGAAATTAGCGCCTTTGACAGGCGGGCTGAGATTTGGGAGGCCCGCCCATCGGGACAGGTCTCCCCTGCTCTGCAAGCTCTGTGGGGCCGAGAGGCCCAGGCCACGCAGAGACTCTGAGGACTTCACAGACAGGGCTGGGGACGAGGGCTCTGGGGAGGCACCCTCTTCACAGCCTCCCTCCTCGTCCTCTTCAAAAATTGTCTCGGGCAGGACGAATCTCAGGTCCCGAAGCAGCTTTGGCCAGGGAGACGCAGGACACTCAGCAGCCTGGTCTTCCTCCTCTTCCTCCTCCTCTTCGTCCTCTTCCTGCTTCTCCAGGCCGCTGTAGTCCTCCTCGTCCTCAGAGTCGGAGTCATCTTGGAAGGTCACGTTGAGTTTGGTCAGGGAAGTCCAGCGCCGGAGGGGGCCTGGCTCGTCCAGCCAGGAGCACTGTGGGCCCGAGAGGTGGGCGGCGCCCCCTGACCCTGAGGCCCCCATGGAGGAGCCCTGGCCGTGGCGCTGGGTGGTGCTCTCGCCACGACTGCCCTTCTCCTCCTTGGTGTGTTGCTTGGTTTCCGCCTGGACAGCAAATCCGAGAGGACCGGTCTCCCCGGGGACAGAAGCTGAAGCCTCCGCTGGCTCCTGGGGAGCTGCAGCAGCAGGGTGACAGACTTTGCGCTCAACGATGGTCTTGATGGACACTGGTGGGGGAGCGCGCTCCTGAGAGCCAGGTGGCACCTGCAGGGTCTGGCTGCCATCTTCGGTTGGCTTTTCTGGAAAAAGAACAGATGGGTTTTATTTCTCCACAGCCACTATTGGCCTACAGGGTGCCTGCCCTGACCTGACCCTTGGGGTCCCCATCACTCGGTGTGATGCTCAGGACACCTCCAGCCTGCTGGCCGCAGAAGGAATGGGGCATGCAGCCTGGGCCATGGGAATGACAGGGACACCTCTGGTTCTTCCCCCAAAGCCCACAGACTGGACAGGCCTTGACCTCCCCACCTCACTCTCTCATCTCTGGAGACTGCTGGCACCATCTCAGGACCCCATCACCTACCCCACCTGAAATCCTGGGCCCTAACAGTGCATTGGCTGAGTTACCCACATCTGAGTCCCTCCTGAATTGTAGGAAGGGAACTGAGCCTAAGGTGATGGGGGTGAGAGCTGGGGGTGTGGGGCAGACACGGGGTCTGGCCAGGCCCTCGGGGACAGGGAATGTGGTTTCCAAAGAGGTGGCAGGGGTTCCCTGTGTCCTCTGCCCCTGGGCCACAGTCCCTTTCCCGGTGAAACTGGGCTGTCATTGCTTCTGTCTCAAGAGCACCCAGGGGAGGCAGCACCTGGAAGCACAGTGGGGACTTCCAAGTGTCTGAACAGCCTGCCCCTGGGCCCCCACTGCCAGCCTCTAGAGCTGGGACAAAGCCATCTCTGCTCTTCATGGGGATCCAGGTGCTCAGGTCCTTGTCAGCAGGGGACAAGAACCCCTGCCCACAGAGCCCAGAGGCCAGCGCTGCTCCGGGTCCTGCTGACTTCTGTTGGCCCAAGGCTAGGACTGCAAAGCCCACACTCAGCTGCACTTGGGTTCTGCCGCGGGGGCCCCCAGCGCCTGCCTCTGCGCCCACCCTGCTCACAGGAGTGCACTCGGCCCCCACTACTGGGTTCAGGGCACCTGGGCCTTCCAGGGGTCCTCAGATGGCTGAAGGGGATCCAGTGCCGGCTGGACCACCCCGCAGGAGGATCCAGGGAAGCTGCCCAAGGCCCTGCCAGGCCATGCTGTCAGAAGCTCCTGAAAGCAGAACTGCTGAGCCCGGGGAGGACAAGGAGGACTAGGAAGAGGTGAGTCCCTGGGTGGGGCTGCCAGGGCCTGGCACTCCCACTACTGACTCCCCCAAGGGAGCATGGGATGGGGCCGTGTGCTGGACTCACCTTCGGGAGGCAGGAGGCACTGGAGCTTCCCCAGCTCACGCATGGAGGCCCGCAGCTGCCTGATGACCGCATCCTCGCTCAGTGACCAGGCCTGCTTCAGGGTCACCTGCAGGAACTCCCGGATGTGGTCCCTGGACATCTTCAGCAGGCGCTCTAGACATGGGGGTGGGCATCAGGCTAGGAGGAGCCCTAGGGATGGCGCAGCCACCATGGCTGCTCCAACCCTTGTTTCTGCTGCAACCCCTGACCCTGGCCCTGTCCCCCACTTGCTGGCCCTGAGGCTCAGCCTCAGCTTGGACCACCCTCAGCAGGACAGGGCCTGCCTGGTCTGCACAGCAGGCTCCTTCCTGTGTCTGCTGGGCCTGGGGAAGCTCAGCCCTGCTCAGAGTCACAGGCCACCAGGTCAAGAGAGCCAGGCACTGGGGAAGGAGCACATGCAGGAACTCCTGGATGTGGTCCCGGGGCATCTTCAACATGGGCTCTGGTCATGGGGGTGGGTGTTAGGCTGGGAGGCGCCATTTTTGGGGGTTGGGGATGAAACGGGATTCGCAATGCCCCCTAAGCTGGCCAAGAACTCAGAAAATTTGTCCCTCCCCTAGGTTCTGCTCACCCGGGCCAAGCATGGGACCCCCCCAACTCCTCCATCCCCAGCACCCAGGCCTCTGTGGGCCCTGAGGACTTACTTCGGTGGACCTTGAGGACGGTGTACACCATGCCGGTGAGTACGTGCGCGCCCTCAAGGATGTAAATGTCGAACATCCGAAGTGCCAGGGGGAACGGCACCTGGGGGACAGAGGCATTGGAGGACCCCGCGCATCAGGGCCTCAGCAGGGCCCACAGTGGGTGGGAGTGCAGTGTCATAGGGCATCCTAGCTGTTTCCTAGAAGCCCAGAGAGAAAGAGCACCAAGGCCTATCCAGGACCCTGGGGCCACGCGGACTGCTCTGCACACTTTGGAAGCCACCCTGGAGATGCCAGACAGCCCAGGGACCTGAGGAGGGGTCAGCCCTTGGGCTGTGCTGAAACCAGCCTGTGGCACCCAGGGTCTATGGATCTCCTGCCTCTCACTGTAGGGCTCTGGCCTTTGCCAGGCTCTCAGGATGGGTCCTGGTGGGACCTGTCCCCTCCTTGCTGTCCCTGAGGCTCAGCCTCAGCTTGGACCACCCTCAGCAGAGCAGGGCCTTCCTGGTCTGCACAGCAGACTCCCTCCTGTGTCTGTTGGGGCTAGGGGAGCTCAGAGTCACAGGCCACCAGTACAAGAGAGCCAGGCACTGGGGCTGGAGCTTCCCTGGGAAGGGGTCCCCGGTGCACTTACCCCATCCAGGAAGCACTGGATGTACCAGTGTGCGGTGTAGTCCTCCAGGCACACACCCTCCTTCTCCTAAGAAGAGGCAGAGGGGGCTCAGGGCCCCTGCAGGGCCCAGGCCTGACTCCCTCTAATCTGTGCCCTGTGGCAGAACCCCTGGGTGCAGGAACCCCGCAGCAGGTGCATCCCCTCTCCCAGCCATGCAGATTCCTGAAGGGACACAGGTCCCTCAGTCCACTCTACCCTGGGGACAGCATCTCCCTTAAATCTACACAAACTCTGGGGGAACAAGTGCTGGAAAACACACCAACACCCAAGCTGCCGCGGCCCCCAGTAACCAAGAAAAGTCTTGGTGAGGATGTAGCCTCCCCTGGCCCAGGAAGCAATCAGGACCCCTCTCTGTCCTCCCCTCCCTGAGCACAGAGGCCCCGAGGGGAGAAAGGGGATGTTTACTTACCAGGTGTTTCTCCAGGGAGGGGAGCACGCGACGCATGATAGCTCCCAGTTGGTGCTGGAATTGCTCCAGTTTTGGGGAGTCTGGTGTGTAGAAATCTGAGTAATAGCAACCCCCCCAGTCCTCACTTCAGAGTGTCTTCCTGGGAAGGCCGGAAAGCCAAAGGCTTGGGGCAGGTTCTTTCTGAACATGGAGGGTCAGGGAAAGCTCTAACAGGCAGGGGAGCCTCAGGGGAAGGGGGTACAGCTGACAGCCCAGGGCAGGCTGCCTAAGGTGACCTCTGGGCTGACTGCACTCACACTGGATGCCTCAGGGCCATCTGGACACTCAGGGTGAGGAGGGGTCACCCTAGAATGGATGCTTCTTCTGCAAGTGTGTGGCTCACTGGGTGGGAGTCTGAGTAGAGACGTGAAGCAGTAAGGCCAGTAGAGACCTAAGGGTCATTTGTCAAAGACAAGGCACAGGACCTTTGTGTGATGGGAAGTGAGGGGTATGGCTTGGTATTGGGCCCTCTGCCAGCCCTGGCTTCTAAGAAAGCATTCTGAGGGAGACCGCCCTATGCACGCAGCAGCCAGTGAGGGACAATGTCCCAGTCACTTGTCTGCATGCCCATCCCTGCACTTGCAGGACCACGTCCACCACACCCATCACCCACCATGCATCGCGTGCTGGCTGTCCCCCATGAGCTGGACTAGGGCCCAGAAAGCATCCTCTTCACTCAGCCACATCAGCAGCAGGGCTGCCACGTGGCTTAGGCCCTGGCTGTAGCCCAATTCCTGGAAGAACACAACACACATCAGAGGGACCTCCCTGGCTGGGATGATCTCAAGTGGCAAGGGTGACCTCTCCTGGGAGAGCTGAGCATTACTACCAGGCCCCACTGCTGCCCCTTGGGTGTCAGGATCTCAGGGACTGGAGCACACGCCAGCTCTCAAAGTTCCTGGAGAGAATGCTGCAGGGTCTGAGCGCAGGCTGTGCAGGGTTAAGAAGAGGTATGAGCCCCACCCCAGATGTCAGGAAGGGGAAGACTGTTGTGGGAGTGCAGACTGCACACCCGTGATGGCCTCTGGAGCTCTCTGCTGTACAGGTGCCCTGCTGGGCCCCACTGCAGACGTGAGGAAGAAGCACCATAGTAAGGCCTGCCTGGGCCAGAACAGAGCCCAGCCCAGGAGAAGGCTTCCGTTCTGCCCCAGAACTTGAGGTTGGGGCCAAGGAGGCCATGAGCTTGAACTCTACCCCTCAGTCTCTGCCTTGTGGATTAGAGGCCCCCTCAACCCAGGCTAGGATTTCTGTGACCAGGGGCACCCTGCATGGACAGCTCTGGATATGACCTTGGAATGTTATCACAGAATACTCACGGGGTTGTACATCGAGTATGCGAGGAGCACCTCAAATAAGGAGCGTTGTCTGGAAGAGAGAGGACAGAGGCTGTGCGTCCTGTGCTGCCGAGGCTCTCAGTGTGGCTCTGCCTAACAGAGCCTGACAGCCACACGCAGCGCCCGTGACACTCTGCTCATGAGCAGTGACGTCATCAGGGCACCTGCGTGTGGTCCACCATGTGGGTGAGCGCTGCCTGCAGGGACACGCACACCTCTCGGGGTGCAGTCATGTGCAGTTTCGTTTCCCCAGGTGGGTGTTCATTGCACAGGTGAGCGTCCCACTGTGGGAGGTGCAGTCCCGTGGGTCTAAGCCATGGAGAGTCAGCCTCCCATGCACGTTCAGCCTGGTAGGGAGCAGCTCCTGTGGCCTATGTGTTCCCCATGAGCCTCAGTGGCCAAACTCCCCACCTCCCCCAGCCCGTGGCCACCACTGCCCTGTTGTGTGTCCCAGGGTTTGGCCTCTTGCAGATGTCCTGTGAGTGGATCACAGCACGTGTAGCCTTTGAGGGATGCGTCCTCTCTTAGCAGGATGCACCTGAGATGCATCCAGGTGAGCCCAGGGCCGAGTCTCGTCCTGCCTCTCACTGAATCCCGTTCTCGGATTCAGCTGTGACACGGGTTCCTTATCCGTGTCCCCACTGAGCATCGTGCAGGCTACTGCCGCGTCCAGTGACTGCAAACACAACCCTGAATCTTGCATGAGGGTTTTATGCACTCAGCTGTTCTGGTGGTTGTGTAAATGTGCGTGTGTGCTGGGGGTTCGTGTGGAAGGTGTGTGTCTCTCATTGTGAGAAATTGCCCTGGGTGATGCTGGGGGTCTGGGCCACTGTGCTCTGTTCCTGCAACGAACCAGAGTGGCGCTCGCCTCACGTTCTCCCCGGTACCCGGCGTTCAGTGGTCTTAGTTCCCCCATTCTCACAGCTGTGCGCTGGTGCCCCATTGTGGTTTAGGTGCTAAGCGTGTTTTCACGCGTTGAGTAGGAGAGTTGTGTGTGCAGTCATGAAGGGGCCCTCCTGAGCCTTGGCCCATGTCAGGGCAGGGAACCCTCATTTGCTTTCTTATTATGTATAACTTCATTTTTTGTATTTTGTAAATACTGTCTCCCCTTGTGTTCCTTTTCATTTCATTCCCACCAAAGTGTCTTTGGGAAAGCAAACTGTTCAGTATAAATAGAAGGCCATGGATCCATTTTTTTTCTGTCCTAGAGCAATTATGCTTTAGGCTTGAGCCCATGTCTCTCCTAGGACCCCATGTGTCCCAGGACCCTTGCACCTCCCTCGCCCAGGGCCCCTCCAGCCCAGAGGCCTCACTTAGCTCCGTATCGCTCTCGAAACATGATGTGACTTCTGAACGTGCGTGCTACCTCTTCATCGATCTGTTGGACTTGATCTGAGCACAACCTGGCCCGTTCCTTCATCTCCTGCAGGGCAGGGCCGAGGGGGAGGGGCCGGCCTCAGGACGAGCCAACCCCCACTGCCACACAAGCACCCCAAAGCCACATCAGCTCTTCTGGTTGGCAGGGAGAGTTCCCCTTGAGGGAAGCTCATTTCCCTGATCCAGGGAGGGTCATGGGTTCCCCACTCGCCTTAGTGTCCACGCCACCCCCAGTGCCCAGCAGAGGGGCCACTGCGGACCCGCTACAGTCAGCCTGAGGCCAGGGGCTCTGCCAATGTCCTTCTGTGCTACCTCTGCCTTCCCAGAGCAGGAGAGACTGAATCAGGCCTCTGAACCTCCTCACTGGGCTCTCAGGCCCCACAGGACAGGAGTCAGCCTCACCCTGACCAGCCTTCAGGGCTGCCCCCTGCAGGAGAGCCCCAGCTCCATCAAGAGAGTGGACACCCTTCTTGGACTTGGAGCTGGCCCCAGGGACAGCCCCCACTTGAAGACTTGGGGGAGGGCGGGGCTGGCGGCTCAGTTGCTCCTTGCTCCCTGATGTCAGCCAGGGAGGTGACAGTCAACCCAGGGCCAGCCCTCTGATGGATCAGCCCTCATTCCCAGAAGCAGTTGAGAGCTGACTCTGACCGATGGAACCAGCAGGCCAGGTGGGGGCTGGGTGAGCTGAGGCCAGGCCAGGCATGAGAAGGCCCAGGTGAGGGCAGGGCCCGGCGAGCATAAGAAACGCACAAGCAGGGTCAGGTGTGGGGAGGGCCGTTAGGGACAGAGCCAGCTGAGGGCCCTAGCACACAGGATTTCCACCTCATTCCAGGCATTCTCTATCCATTCAGGACCCAGCACAATGGCACTGGGCAGTCCTGGGCCTAGAGGCAAGGCAGGACCACAGGGATGAAGGCTGTGGCCCTGACCGGATCCTTGTGTCCAGGCCCATTTGTGTGTGGGGAGACATGGAGGAGGCCTCTGGGGAGACCTGGATGAGGCAGAGGGGAGGGCCGGGTGGGGGCCCCAACCAAATGACCACTCCTCCTTGGCATTACTTGTCCACCACACGGGAGCCTTGCGCTCCTGAGCAGGCCCAAGCGGGTCGGCCTGCCTCAGATTGCACACAGAGCCATACCTCAAATTTGCCAGGGTTCTGGGCCTTCAGGGTATCCACGGAGAGCATCATGGCCCACACCTTGCCGCGCACCTGGGCGGGGATGCCTTTCTCAATTCTCCGGTGGAACTACAGGAGAGAGGAGGCTCTGGTGAGACCCGCCCCAGGCCCTCTGTTGGGGGGGAGCGTAGGGTGAGGCAGCAGGAAGGGGAGCCCTGGGCTCTGTGCTGTGTCCCCAGATCTGCCTGGACCTGGGCCTCCTGACCCAACAGTGAGAGGAGGGCCGAGGGCTCAGTGCAGGCTCTGTGGTGCACTCACTGCCCCCACAGGGCACCAGGAACTGTGCCTGCCCTGCATCTGGGAGTGGCCCCAGGGGAGACTGGATCTTCTACTGCGACAGTGTCCTGGGTGCACGGGCATGGGGCTGAGATGACCTGTGTCCTTTCAGGGCAGGACAGTTGTGTCTGAGAGGCACAGCGATGGGCACTGTCCATCCCAACTCCACCCCCAGTGGTCCCCAGGGGCCCTCAGGTCCAGGCACCTTCTCACTGCTGCGGTACTTGGTGAAATTTCGCAGCATCTTGTTCCATTTTTGCAGTCGGCGGCCCTCTTGATGTTTACGCTGGGAATGGAGACAGGATGGCGTGAGCTCAGCAGTGTCCTCTGAGGGAGGCCACGGGTGCAGCTCAGGAGCCTGTGGACAACTCAGCTGGGAGGAGCCAGCAAAGGGGCAGACCACAGCACCCAGACCTTCCAACTAGGGGAGCCTCAGGGTCTTGAGTATAAATAAAAGGACAAGCATCCTCAAGCTAGTCCCATCTCATCCAGGAAAGTGGGTCACAGTGGCCCACAGGCAGGGACCCAGAGCTGCAGGCCTGCACTGGGGTATGTGGGCCTCAACAGATCCCCTGGGGACTGCTGTCCCTGGAGGACCATATGGCACTCCTCTAACCACTGCCTATACCCACAGGCCTGCTAGTTCTGCCTCCTAGATGAAGAGTCCATGGCCAAGGTCAGCTTACCCATTGCACTGCCAGGCATCCATGCCTGGGCGGCTTCTGCTTACTGAAAAGCAAGAGAGACAACACCATGAGAATGGGCACTGAACCAAGCATGGTCCACTTCCCCAGCAAGGCTGGGAGAAGACCTGTGTCCTCACCCTGCTGAGGCACAGCCCAGAGCACAGAGAAGGGCAGGGAGGGGGCAGCCATGCTGCAGGCAGACACCCAGCAGGGGCTGGGGCTCGAGGCACCTGGGACCACCACACCCCCAAGGTTATCCCCCACCCAGCCTCCCCACTATGCACTGGCTGCCTGAGGTGTCTGCTCCCCACCTCACCCTCCTCTGTTAGCCCAGACCGTGGCCATCTCTCTACCCTTGGCTCCTGCTTTTTCTCCAGGTTCTGGGCACAACATGGAGCCAGAACCCCCTATCCCGTGCTAAGGTGGGCTGCTGAGTCATGCCAAAGACGGCCCGAGATGGCTCATCCCTCTAGATCACCGGAGCCTACCCTCCAGACATGGGGCTGCTCTCCCTGACATCTGTTGGAACAGCCTCCAATCTGACTCCTGCCCACAGGCCCCACTCCTCCCAGCACAGACCCCGGGCCGGGCCCTCAGCTGCACCTTCCCTGTGGTCTGTACTGTGGGAGCCTGCAGGCAGGCTGAGAGCTGCAGAGGCCACACTGCTGGCCATCTCTCAGACTAGGTCTTAATAAGCCTTTAGCCTAGCCCTGAGGCTCAGGCCCCTGTTGGACAACTGCCTACCTGCTAGGCTGGTGCCCCAACCCTGTGGACACAGCTATGGGGTGACGATGGCCAGGCTATGTCCCTCAAGCCACCACCTCTACTTAGCATGAACAGAGGCCTCAGAGTAAGAGTGCCAGTGTCTACCCTACAGCCAGCCCTTTCCCATCCTGCATTCTTGAGTCACAGGGTCACTCGGCTCTGCCCGTATACTGACCTGTGCCTGCACTGTGACAACAGCTTGGATCAAGGAGGGGGCCTGGGGATAGGTGTGCTACCTAATGGCGGGGTTTCTGACCCTGGTCCCTCCCCTGGGTGGATCGGGGTGCAGAGGACTCACCACAGGAAGCCAAGTTTGTCTGGGACGAGGGCTCCACTCTCGTCGTCCTCTTCTCCCAGGTGAAACTGGGGCCCTTTACGGGGACCCTGCAGGGGAGAGGGGACCCAGGTGAGAATCCCGGGTCTCAGTCACTGGGGGAAGCTGAGCCACCCTCCCGCTGTGTCCCCAAGGAGGTGGGGTCTGGCTCTCATAAGCACAGTACTTGAGGCAGGGTCCTACCTCCTCCCCCAGCACCCTGGCCCGTACCTGCTCATATTTCAAGATGATCCCTGCTCGCTCCTGGGCCCTGCCGGACCTCAGGGCGTCCATATCCAATCTGTAAGACACACACGCACTTGTGATCCAGTACAGGGGAGCCCACGGGAACTGCTGCCCCGAGGTCTGTCCCCGTGGTCAGAGTGGGGACAGCCACACAGCCAGGTGGGCGGGCACCTGGTGGTCGGGTCCCAGGAGGATGACTTGTTCAGAGCACAGGGACTAGGGATGGTTGGGGAAGGACAGCCCCCACCTTGCCTCCCCTGCCCTGGGAAAGGATGCTCCTCCCCCAGCCTGGCATCCACGTGTCCTCCAGGGAGCCCAAGTCTCCCTGGCCCGCTCCCAGCCCCCGAATCTCTAGGGCTCTCAGAGGTGGACTCACTGCCCCACCTGACACCAGCTGATCCAACACCTAGTCTTGAACCCGTGTCCAGACACAGACTCACACCAAGGCCCATTTGACACTGATGCCCAGCAGAGTGGGAGGAATGAGACGACTATATACACACTCTGCACACAGGGGCCGCTGAGAGCTCAGCCACAACACTCATGGAACCTGGCGTGGGAGACCAGTGCCACCCACCTGGCATGACCTTCCCTGCGTCACAGGTCACGCAGAGAGCAAGTCTCACTCACCTCCTTCGAGTATCCATTAGATTCTATGAAATGTGCTTCCTGCCTACGCTACCAACATCTGGTCAGTTGGGCAGTAGATGCACGACTGGCCACTGGTTGCTGACAACCAAGAGTGCACAATTCTCAGTGACTGTGATGTCACAGAATCCTGCCAGCCAATCCCAAGTGGCTCTGCTGTGGCAGGGGTCAGGGTTCTCAGCCCTGGCTTAATTAAAGGTCACCAGAAGTGGGGCCTGTGTTCTCCCCAGGGCCCAGGTGAAGAGGGCAGGGCTCTGGCAGAACTGCCCCAGAACCAGGGGTGCCAGGGCCCTCTGCCACCTGCCGTGACGGTCCCAAGTCCCAGGCAACCTGCACCTCCTGCCCCTCATTTCTTCCTCTGCCATTTTATTACAGCCCAACTGTGAAGTCCTCTTTATTTGAACACAAGGTGGAACAGGGTGCCCCATCATGGCCAGTCCTTCTTCCTGAGGTTCCCACACTCGGGGCTGCCCCTGAATGACCTGAACGGAGACTCCCAGGGTTGCAGCCTGCTGTCCTACCACAGGCCTGACCCCAGCACTCCCAACCCCTGCTGACCCCTCCTGCTCTGTTCCAGCCCCTCTTCCCAGGAGTTTTAGGAGGTGGACACAGGGGGTCCTCCTGGGATGGAGGGCAGGGGAGCCGCCCGCTGAGCACCACCTGCATAGGACCTCAAGCTGGCATGGCCCAGACTGTCCAGAGCGGGAACCAGGGCCCTGTCCTGACACTGACCAGGGCTTCAGGCACAGAGTGCTGAGAACTCCTGGGCACCAGCTCCTGAGCCGCATGCTGGTAACACCGGGCTGCTGCTGACCATAAGGACAGGGACAGCACATGTCGGGCAGGAGCAGCCACAGGCCCGCAGCTCCCCAGGGTGCTGATCACCAGGTTGCTCCCTGCAGGGAAAGCGACTCAGCCCTCCCCCAGCACCTCCTTGGTCCTGGGCCCCACACTGCCCCTAGGCTGCCACCTTGGGGCCACAGTCGGTTCTTTTCCCTCAAGGGCCTGTTGTTCTGCCTCTCTGCCCACTTCCCTTGCCCTGGCATGGGGACCACAGTGTCCAGGGCCCTGGTCACCAATACACCTGCTGGCCTCCTCTGCGGGTGGGAACGAGTACACAGCTGTGTCATGTGCAGAGATGCTGTCCAGCAAGACTTGGGTTTTAACTGATTCTGTTATTCCCCTCCCCACTCAGCTTCTCCTCTTTTAAATATCATTGTACATTCTTTTGGAGATTCACAAAGTGCTGTAAAATAACACAATGAATGATGAGTGGGGATCACCCAGCTTCAGCAGTCAAATATTCTTAATTGTATGGAAGATGCCTATGGGTTTCCTTTCTCTGCCTGAGTTCATTCTCCAGATTCCCTAGGGTTAGTGGTCTCCAGATTGCATTTTTCTCCACTCGGGGTGATGTTTTGCTCTCGAGTCAGACTCAGGAGCCGAGGCTGGGGATGGATCCCGGGTGGTACAGTATGGGATGAAGGTGTCCCAGTGGTATCTTCCCCACTATGCCTGCCCTGGGGTTGCTATCAGGGACAGGTCTTGTCCTCCTCCAGCCCCATCTCACTTGGGCTCCTGCTGGGTAATGCCGTCTGCCATGAGGCCCTCACCAGAAGCTGGTGCCCGTGCCACACTCTCGGGCTGGTCAAGCCACAAGCTAAAGTGAACTTTCATTTTCTAAGCAACGCAGCTTCAGGTATTTTGCTATTGCCACACAGAGTGGGCCAGGACTTCCCTCCAACTTCAGCAAAGTGCCCTCCAATGTGCTTGAAGGGTTTCTGAGAAAGCCTCTTCCCAGAGTATCAGGTGCTCCTCATTCCAGATTTCAGCTGAGGTCTCCTGAAAGCCCACTCTGGCTTCCTGTGCCACCTAAACACCCAGGCACTGAGTTCTCTTTTAGGGGTAGCTGGGAGTAAAGGCAGAGGCCAGCTCAGCAGCACTGCTCAGGGCATCTGGGAGTCCGGCAGGACTTTGAGTCCCTCCAGTCAACCTCAAGAGAGGGCACGGGACTCATTTGTGTCCTGAGAGACAGGAGATTGGCAGGTGCAGGGAAACACTGAGTCTGCGAATTAGCCGCCACTTCTTACAGGGCGCTCTGGAGCCGCTCCTGCGTTTCAAGTGAGCCATGGGCCCGCGTGCACGGCTGAGAGCTGTGGCTACATGGCCGCAGAGATCACCTCTGACAGTGGTGCTTAGGGAGCGCAAGGTGAGCCTGCGTGCTAGGGCCCTTCCCACCCACAGCACCCACCCACAGCACGTGACCTCAGTACACAGACCAGACCCCTCCAGCTCGCTGCTCCAGCCCTTCCTTGAGAATTGCTCTGAGTCCCAGGGCCAAGGGCTCTGCTCCTGTGGTGTTCACACACAGGCACAGCCACATCACCCATGGGACCCAGCGTGGGAGACCAGTGTCACCCACCTGGGCAGGACCTTCCCCAAGAGCAAATCCCACTCACCTCCATCGTGAATCCATTGGATTCTGCCAAATGTGCCTCCTGCCTATGCTACCAACACCTGGTCAGTTGGGCAGTAGACGCACTATTGGTCACTTGTCACCTCACAGCCCAGAGTGTGCATCCTCAGTGACTGTGATGTCACAGAAGCCTGCCAGCCAACCCCAAGTGGCTCTGCTGTGGCAGGGGGTCAGGGTCCTCAGTCCTGGCTTTATCAAAAGTCACCACAAGTGGGGCCTGTGTTTTCCCCAGGGCCCAAGCGAAGAGGGCAGGGCTCTGGCAAGGGTGCCATGGAACCAGTGGTGCAATCCAGAGCACCTGCCCCTTTGTGTCAGGCTCCCTCTGGGTTCCTGTGGAGCTGTTTGGTGGGACAACTCAAGGGTTGAACTCTGCAGTCCTGATTTTTTTCATTTTTTCCTGAAGTGGCCAGGGCCCCATAGTAAAGGAGAAGTTCCAGTAGGGAAATCATCTAGAAACTTGGAATGCACAGAGGGAAGATAATACAAATCTCTCAGTGCCAAGTATGTGATGCCATGTATGTGATATAAATTTATAAGGTATTATTGCACATTTCAGAAATATATCACCACACTGTATATTCTAAATGTCTCATACTGTTCTCGGCTTTCTGATTTCTCAAATACGTCTTCTGTGCTGTCAAATATATTTTAAAAGTAAGTATCTTTTTAATGGCCCAAAGTGGGTCACCTCGACAGAACAGGAGAAAAACCACAATTTCTCCTGGTGCTAAGTGCTTTGTACATGCAGAGGTGGCCAGAGAGAGGGAAAAAGGAGACTGCTCTTTTCCAGGTTGTGATGTAGGAGGGGTGAGGTTGACAAGGTGCATGGGCCCAGATGCTACCTGCAAATCTGGCTCCATGGTACCTTCAGGAGGGAAGAGAAAGGGGTGTGGTCTCTGCTGTCGTGGTGGGAGGGGACAGAGGGAAGGGCACCGCGTGTAGCATGGACCCTGTCTGGGCTATCCTATTTACTCCTCCTCGGGTCCCTGGGGGTGGCATTTTATCTCTGATCTGCCGACCAAGAATCAGGCCCAGGGCCAGGTAATGCACTGAGGGTCATTGCTTGGGCCTGGAGCCCAGGTGTCTGGGGCTCCACACCCAGCACTGCCAGCAGGGGATGCGAGGTTGGCCCTGTGTGTTTGCCCAGGGTGTGCCTGTGGGAGAGGCTGTTCTGAGTGTCCCTTTGGAGACAGTGGCCCTGTGACCTGAGCTCCTGCCCTAGCCAGCTGTTTGTCATCAGCTCCTACCCTGGCAGCAGCTCAGCCTGCAGGCTTTCCTAAGCATTTGCTTGAGGGGAGAGATGCCAGGGCCCATGCTGTGTCTTTCTTTCGCCAGCTCCCTTCTCTGCCCTTGTACACACAGCTGTCTATCAGAAGGGTGTTGAGTCAAGGCCAAGACCAAGGCTGTATTGCCCTGTTCACCTGTCAATCAGGGGGCCCCTCCCCAGGAAGTACCGCCTCTTATCCAGGACATCGGGGTGGTACCATGTAAACACTTCCATTTTTTCGAAAGCTCATAAAAAGTGAGGAAGGACGGAAGCGCTCTCTCCTCATAGACTCAGGACAAGCAGAGCAGGGTATGATGATTCCCTTCCCTTAGCCCATTCTCCATTAATAAAGCCCTAATGGGCCTGTGTATTTTTCTCACTTTGTAACTAAAGTTTACCACACTGCAGGCTGTGTTTGGGCCTGTATTTAGAATTCTTCTCTAAGTTAAAGGCAAGAGTCTGGAAAATTAATTTAGGCCCAGACCCAGCCCATAACATTCCCAGTCCCAGACTGACCCACTCAGGAGTCGGGTCAGGTCCGTGGATCCCACCATTTTGGGAGACGCCCATGCTTTCACTGGAAGGGTCTCTGCCAGGACATCTTCCCTGCAAGCCTGGGGCCCTGGTCCCATGCTCCCCTCACTGTCCGCAGGAGCTGTTGGGAAGCTGCTTTCTCAACCCCTCTGGCCAGGGCTGCCCTCTAGCTCTTGTCTCCAACTCCCAGGCCAGGCCCACAACCTGGAGGTCAGGTTGGTTCTGGCCTGCTGACTGTTAGCAGTGTGGTTTGTTCAGAACCAGTACTGCCCAGGCTGCAGGCGGGAGCCATGGCAGTACTTAGAAAGCCATGGAGTTGTCAGCAGCAACCCTGTTGTGGCTGGAGGCCTCCCTGTGGTTTACGGACTCTGTCTATGGGCGAACCTGGAAGAGAAGGTGGCCCCAGTGATGAATGAGATTTTGTTTTAAAAAAGTTTTATTTATTTGCAAGGCAGAGTCACAGAGTATGAGAGAGAGAGAGAGAGAGAGAGAGAGAATATCTTCTTTCTGCTGATTCACTCCCCAAATTGTCGAAACAGCCAAGACTGGGACAGACAGAAGCCAGGAACTAGGAATTCCACTCGGGTTTCTCACATGAGTGGCGGGGACACAAGCACTTGGACCATCTTCCACTGCCTTCCCAAGCACATTAGTAGGGAGCTGGATCAGAAGCATATCAGGTGGGACTGAGACCAGACTCCAATATGGAGTACCAGGGTTGCAAGCAGTGGCATAACCTGCTGTGCCATGATGCTGGTCTCACAAGGGAGATTCAGTTCCTTTTTTTTTCTGCCAATATTTTATTATATCAATGGCACTACATTTAAATGGCCATGAAGGCCAATTCAATGTAGTTCCCTTGGAATAAAATTCAAGGATTTGAAATGCAAGGGTTCATGGGAGAATGTAATTAAAAGCTGTCTATTTGGGTGCAAAGCTTTTTGAAATCCATGCATAGTTTGTTAATCATACGTACATTTTCCATGAACTGTTTGAAGACCTGTCATCCACAGCAGCGAGCTGGGTGAGGAAGGGCAAGGCTCCTCCCACAAGTGGAGGCCTCCTAGAGGGAATGAGCTGTG